CATTTTATTACAACAACCAAAAAAATGGCAGCATAAACTTTTATTCATACTCACCGTCTCTTTTTGAGTCTTACTCCGTTATTACAAGTTTACATCTTGTCGCTCCATAAGAAAAGCTACTTCGACGTCTTCAAAACGTTTCTCCATTTCCATTTTCGCTCGTACTGGTGATGCCGCGTTTAATTTGTCGGAAAAAGCCGGCTGGCTGGCTCTGGAAATTACACTCGGCGGAATAATGTGGCGTGTTGGTATTAAGTGCCGAATTAAACAGACATTCCCATGCATGGAGCCGAGTTTTTGAGGCGAAGATGGAGGCGTCCTCGTAATCTTGGCGCGCGTTCTGAAAAACGACACGGGCATGCACATCGCCGGAATATTCTTATGAAATGGTTGAGCTATGAGAACGAATACTTTCGTAGTAGAAACGTGAGGATTTTTGAAGTTTTTATTTCTTACTGAATTAATATAAGCTTATTTTGTCGTGGTTACGCTAACCATAAATAAAGTTATAACTCCCTTGGAACATTATTAATGGAAATTAAGATGTTATAATTCCCTCTACCTTTTAGAGGTAACAACCATGAAATACAATAGAGATTTTGAGTAATAATTTAAAATGAAGATTGACACTCACCTAACTACTCTAATAATTTATTTACATCATTAATTTCACATATAACAAATTTACAAAAAAACAGTTTCATCGACATATCCTGCTACAGTATTTTACTGTTTCATTAGTATTTTTTATGTTCGTTTTGGTAAATGAATTCACTTTTAGGTGGGTTGTGCTTCTTCAGCTTTTTTTAATACACTTCTCAAAATAAAAATAGTTTAAATACTGTAAAAGGAATTTCGAATCAATAGTTATCCCTACACTTACTTTAATTACATGCCTAAAATTAAGTTTTGTTCGTAAACGCCATTCCATTTCTATATAAGTGCTTCGGACAACTGACCTAAAGTCTGTGATGGGTTAATTCTGCTTCTAACGGCACATCCTATTTGATCCCACATGTGTTCAATTAGATTAAGGTCAGGCGACCTTGTTGGCCAATTCATTACTTCAATATCTGTGTCTTCCAAGTACCGTCTAACAATGCCCGCCGTGCGAGCATTATCATGCACTAGAATGAATCTGGTCTTCAAGAATTTCTGTAATGTACATTTCTGCATTCAATATGCGGTTCCGGATAACGTGCAATTCAGTGCGAGCTTGAATATTATTACTTCCCCAGACTAGAACACCTCCTCCGCCAAAGGCATCCAACTGACGAATATTATGCTGAACAAATCGGGTTCCAGACGATCGTTTGCTGATAAAGTAAATCTGGACTCGTCAATAAACAGTACTCTCCCCCATTCAGCAACTGTCCCGTTCAGGTGTTCTCCAAATGGCTACTCGAAGTTCTCGTGTGAGTCTTGGCCTAGTTGCTGCTCGTCTTGGTCTCAACTGGTGTTCTCTTAACCTGTTTCTTACTGTCCGATCACTTATCCTAAGCTGGTGAGCTCTAAAAATCTCATTTTGCAGATTTTCTTCCGGGTATATTAAAGAATAATGCTAATAATAAGCTAATAAGCTGATAATAGCCGCCAGCAAAGACGATGATTGTTGACCGCCTCCGCAACAACCAACTTGATTTCCGAACCGTGGCTGGATACGAGGTTATGAGCCTGTTCAACTATTTAGGTTCCATGATAGCAAACTCTGGAGGATGCGAGGCTGAAATCAGGCGCAGAATGGCAATGGCGAGGAATGCAACAACAAAGCTGACTAAGATATGGAAAACTTCAGCAATTACACGAAAAACTGAACTGCGCATTGCGAACTCCCTCATATTCCCCATAGCTATGTATGGCTTTGAAACATGGACACTAAAGGAAAGTGACAAGCAAAGAATAAACGCCTTGGAGATGTGGGTATATCGACGGCTATTGCAAATACCATGGTCGGCTCATCGAACAAACATCTCCATGATTGAGGAACTAAAAATTGAGACACGTTTGGTTACCGGGTTGAATCAGTCAATCCTCCGATATTTTGGCCATATTGCCAGGAGTGGCACCTCAATTGAGAGACTGATGGTGGAGGGGAAGGATGATAAGAGATGGGTAGATCAAGTCAAAGCCCTAGTGGGCACAACCTCCCCGGAGCCTCACATATGGCTCAGTGTCAAACAACTTGGTCCGAGGAAGTGTCACATGATATCACCATACTCTCACGTAGGGTGAAGGACTGTCACGTATTACTAAAGAGAGAGAGATATTAAAGAAGACATTTTTACTCTAAAAAACATGAATAAAAAAACTTCCTTCATTTAGAAATTACTTTTTTCCAACATGTGATAATTATTTTCAGTAGTGTATTTCCTCCAATTTAATGGAAGCGTACTCGAACGTGTGCCGAATTCGTGCGAAAGGTATGTGTCAAAAAACACGTACCTCTAAAAATAATAATTTCCTTTTGCAAATACCAATTTTAGATATACACTATATTCTATACACTGCTGCTTTCCATCATTGCCCCCAGTTCCCTCGGACCTGTCTCAAAACTCCTCTAACCTACCGCATTCCCTAACCCTTCGTGTCCCTTTATTTACCGGAATTACGTCACACGTACGGCCGCTCCACTTTATTACGTCATCATATAAATCGAAGCGGGCCTCGTCGAGGTCCCTTGGCGGCGTACGTACGGAGCCCTATTAACGTCGCCCTTACGATAAGTAAGGGATAACGTGTGCTCATTAAAGAGGAGTGAGGAGGTCGGTGAGAAGGGGAGGCGTACTACCGCGCACACATAAACAACGATGAATGCATATTGTGTTGGATGCACGTGGTGCATCGGATCGGCAGAGCGCGGACACACACTGCGGATAGTTCTAGCCAGCCCCGAATAGTCCAGGGAAAAAAGAAAAAGAGATATTTTTAAATTGACATAATTTATTTTAAAAATGTTTAACAATTAATCTATAGGCTTGGTGCATTTCAGTTGATTTCAAAAAATTCCAACCGCAGCGCTGTATACGGCGAAATCAGAAATATTAATTAAAGAATAGATCAAGCGAGGAAAAGTGTTCATCCAAATGAAAACCTGTTCAAAAGATCACAACTTAAACTTGACCTTTGATTTAAATAAGAACTCTCTTCGGATTATCATGGGGTTTCTAACAGAACACTGCCTCCTCAACGGACAGCTCAGTAGAATGAAGCTGAGAATCAACAGTGAATGCAGATTCTCTAGGGAAAATGGGGAATCCCCAGAACACCATATCACTGAGTGCGCCGAGACGACAACCAACCGAGATAAGCTTACTAGAAAAATTATTACATGTTTTAGCTCTACTATTCCATCTCCTACGCGAACCGATGTTCTTGTAAACCAAGTTGCCTTAGCTTGAATGCTACACCATTTATCCAGTCTTCCCTGACTGGTAGAATTAATATTAAATTTGTTATATTCCCAATACCTTGACTACCTTGCTTCTGGTTTTCAGTATTATACGTCTGGCTTATGTGTTCCTGACAAATTAATTAGCCTGTGCATGCTGTCATGCATATCTGTTTTGGTATGGCTTCGCCTTGTTTGAAAATTTGTAGTGGTGGAAGATTCGAGCCCTTACCATTGGTAAGGGCTCGAATAAACTTTGATAAAGCTGATGTCGGAGATGGAGAGCTGGCCTTTGTGGAACCACATCAGATACTGGCTTTTTCAAGCCAGTATCTGAGTTATAACTCGTTGTAACTCAAAAAAGGAGAACACACAATAGATCTGTAAGGTCGCTAGGTTTGTAGGTAAGGTAAGGTCTGTAAAGTCTGTTATTCAATACTTTTTATTCGCCATCTTTTCTTCAGACTGAAAAATAGCTTTTTACATGTTTGCCAATAATATTTAGATTTATATTCTTCTGATACACGTTATAACCGTTAGAATTTAAATTAAAATACATAGATTTGCAAGATAATTATATTTTTATATCTTTTTTCTTAAAATCTGTTTACTTTAGAAATAGTTTAGCTTAAAAAGTAACATAATTTCAAGCATTATTGGCGATATCTACGCCATATGCTATTTTTTTATATACGTATAATTCTTATTGGTAGAAAAGTTAGAAGTAAAATGTTCATGTCAGATAATCAAAATAAAATCAATCTTATTTTTTTTCCGCTCGTTTTATAAAATGTAATTCTCTTTCTTTCCAGACTATATAACTCGAATTGGGATTATATTTTTAATCAATTGAAAGTAGCTTTACAAATTTCCTACTTTCCTATATTTCTTCTTTGTTTTGTTTTTTTCTTATTTTTATAAAAGTTTTTATTTGTAACTATCTAATGTACCTAACATGTATTTGTTATCCATCAAAAATGCCTAGGATCTCGACCTACCGAAAATTGCGATCTCGAAAGTAACGTAACTGGAGTAACTGGTAACGACTGTAACTGGAACATCAACGTCAACAGCGACCGATCAAAGTGCGTCTACGCCCTTATTACGTATTTGCCATTTCCAGTTCCAGTTACTACCGTTTGCGACCAACGAAATCGCAACCCTAGGGGCGCGACGGCTGGAGCGAAGCACGTCGCTATGCGGTTACTGCGGTTGAACTAACTCCTAGAGCGATTATAAATAATTTATTTGCAAATTATGAACAATTTATAGTTTCATCGTTATTATAATCGTCATTATTCAGTAACAGGTTCCTGATTCGTTGTGGAGCGCAACATGACGTTACAAAAAACACCGCTCCAAAATCGCGTTACTCAAATACCGACACATCACTATTTTCTAGTGATCATGAACAAAGATTTTCTTTCATTCACCAATACATTTTTGTGATTATTCTTGAGTAAGATTACTGATTACTACAAAAACACTCAGTTATTTTCCGTTTAGCGTGAACTACACACTGTTTTCCCGACGCGTAGCAGCGTCCGGAAACAGAACTAAAGGGGTTCCGGAGGCAAGAGGGGAGGTAAGCTATGGCGACGTCTACTGCCGCCGCGACGCTATAGCCGCAGTTCGGCACGAGCGTCGCCGGCGCTCACAGCGACCGACGCCCGGCGTCGTCGTCGTTTATATCGCCGTCGCGTCTTCGGCGCGACACGAAGAAGAAAATTGCGTTGTTTAACTCTTAGATAAACCAGTACTAACAAAGAATTTAGAGTTATGGCTTGATACTTATATGGTTAAAATGCATAAGGGCTCCAACTGCAAAACGCTTTCAAATGAAGACAAACTATTTTTAAAGGTGAGTTTGGTTTTATTCAGGTTTTATGAAAATGTTGAAAGAAAGAAGTAATAATCTGAATTTTAGAACAGTCACAAAATAATATATGTGTATTTTACTTCTGTTACCATTGTTTATTTATTTTTACTACCTACCTTCTTCTTGTAAATTCTGATGATCCGTGCTGTTTATTACAGCCATATGATCGAAAAAACAGCGTCAAAGATGGTTTTCACCATCAATTCAAACAACAATATTTCTGGACTGAAAACCACCTCTGCTCGAGTAAATACCAACAAACAATAATAATATAACTTTTCAATGACAGTAACATTTTAAATCGATACAATCTTCATCAAGGCGAAGAAACTAAGATATTGACATGAACTAAAAAAGATATATCTATAAACTTTTAAAAGTTGTTTTTTACAAACATTTATTTAACTTGGCATGTTTATTAGTCTTCAAATATGGCGAGCTGAAGTAGAACCACTTCCTGACGCTCGATTGTGTTCAGATTTGGTATACTTGCATAGCTTCGGTGACGATGCAGTATTATGGTATTATGAAACATATAAGGGTAGTACTAAAATATAGTACCACTTCCTGACATTTTATTGGGCGCAAATTTGGTATACTGGCATGTTCAAATGTGGCGAGCTGAATTAGAACCACTTCCTGAAGCTCGATTGGGTTCAAATTTGGTATACTTGCATATCTTCGTTGACAATGCAGTATTATGGTATTATGAGACATAATATAAAGTAGTACCAAAATATAGTACCACTTTCTGACATTTTATTGGGCTCCATATTTGGTATACTGGTATGTCTTCGGTCACAATGGCAATATTATGGTACTATAAAGCTGATCCGAAGATGAAGCCACAAGGTGGCCATACGAACTTATAAACTAAACAAGCTAAACCTATCGTATTTAGAAGCATTAGGTTCGCCGCTGTGCTAGGTTAGAAGGATTCCTTATTGAAGCATGAAATGGACTTTAAATTAACATCTGAACAGGTTAGGAAAACAAAATAAAGTCCCCCTACTCTGGGTACCAGCCCACCAAGGGACAGAAGGTAATGAAAAAGCAAACGATTTAGCTAGAAACTCTCGAGCGAACACTCTTCTAACTGGACCAGAACTGTGCTCATTTTCAAGTGGAAACCCACTTAAACGAGAACTAAAGAACCTGGAAGACTCAATCGGCAACCTGGAATGGGAATCCTTCAACGGCCTAAGGCACTCAAAGATATTTCTTTGATTCCTTTGATTTAAATAAGAACAATCTTCGGATTATCACGGGGTTTTTTAACAGAACACCGCATCCTTAATGAACACCTCAATAGATTGAAGCTAAAAAACAACGGCGAATGCAGATTCTGTGGGGAAAATGGAGAAACACCAGAACACTTCATCACTGAATGCGCTGAAATGACAGCCATTTATGCCATAAACTTTGGTACGACTGCTATCGGGGATGGAGAACTAATCTCTGTAAAACCGTCTCAGATACTTGCTTTTGTCAAAGCCCTGAGACTGTATGATGAGTTATAACTCAAGAAAGGAGGACACAATAGATCTATAAGGTCGCGGTGATTAAGTCCCTCCTCCCAGATCTACAATCCCATAAAACAATATGTATACAATCTACTATCTACAAGATGGAGGATAATCTACAATCTACAAGAGGCTACAAACTGAAATAATTTAAGTACAAATTGTTTAAAAAATCACCTAAATCGGCCTACTAAAAAAATGTAGTGAACTTTCAGCGAGACTAATGTACGGTCCTAAAGTTTTGGGAAAATTTTCATCTGGTTTGGTTAAGTAATAAAATGCATTTAATGAAGTAGTCATGGTAATTAAATGTCATCAGTCATGTCACTTCAAAAAACAAAGCAAAAAATGTTGGGTTCTGATTCTTAAAATGTCTTATAACATTGATATTCGTCGAGGAGTTTATAATCTTGTTGGGCGAATGGCGAAACGAGATATTGTCGTCATTTATCGGGATCAAAACATTAGCAAATCGACAATTTATCGGGCAATCAAAGAATGTGAAGAAGGGATACCATGTGAGAATGGCCCTGATGATGTGAGATTAAAAAGTAAGAAAAAGTTTTAGGACAAAATTTTGGTATGATGTAGCATTTCTGAGGCTGGCTTCATCTCACATCTTTACATTGGCGTTTTTCGGAGTGAAGCCTTAAATGCAGAGCTTTATATCGAGAATTGTCATTGAAGGATGATGCAACGCATCAGGGAATTCTTCAATAAGGCAATTCTTCAGGGCAAATCGACAATAACGGTCCCTTCTCCAGTGTTTGAATTTTATTTTATAATTAGGATAGTAAACATAGGTTGTTTAAAAATATGATAAAAATATAAAACTATTTTTATAAGAGTTGTCAGTTTCTGAATTTTTTCCCAAAACTTTAGGACCATACATTATCAGTGTATTCTGACATTTATTAATATGAAAAACTCTGTATATTATGAAAACGAGAATTTGAGAATTATTTTGAGCTTACAATAAATATTTTTGTAGTATTTGTGCAACAAAAAGTAGAACAGGATTTGGAGCTTTCCTATAATCAATATACCATACATACACATAAATGCAAATGCATATAGCGCTGGATTACATACATTACAGTTGTTAAACCTCCGTTTAAATGCAGTTCCAAAATTAATGCACTAAGCTTCATAAGCACCCAAAACAGATCGATATAAATCTAAAACTCAGGTCTCCAAAATACCCTAGAAATAATTTATTTAATTAAACCTGGTTGTTTTTACCGTAAACTATGAGATTTTGCAAAATAAATTCCCAATATTATTAAAAATCTAAGAAAATTATGTTTTTGCTTTAATAAAATATATATTTCGAAAGTGGTGCTACGTCAGGTCCAAAAATAATTTGTCGCTAACGAAAAACAATTTTGCCCTCATCAAAAAAGTTATAATTGAAAACTCATGTTGTTCTATTAGTAAAATGTATATTAATCTATTTATAATTCAGTGACGTTTGGAAACACCGTTTGAAGGTCGTTTATTTTCAAAAGCTTCAATTAAGAACCGCCAGTGTTCTTTAGATAATTCAAAGCGAAGTACAACAATAACAATTTTAAATACCCCCATGCATTTCCGTGCAGCTGAAGAGGCGGTCTTGTCGGACTTAGTAAGATGATTTTATCTTGGTTTGCTCTCATGTATGCTTAAAAGTCTAGATATAAATTGTATGGGAAGGGGGAAGTTAATCACCGCGACCTTATAGATCTATTAAGTAGGAAGGGGTTCCTTAAGTAACTCATCATACAGTCTCAAGGCTTTGACAAAAGCCAGTACCTTAGACGGTCTTACAGAGGTCAGTTCTCCATCTCCGATATCAGTCGTACCAAAGTTTATGACACAATGGTCTCGGAGCACTCAATGATGACGTGTTCTGGTGTTTCCCCATTTTCTCCTCATAGAAATTGGATTCGCCGATTCGATTTTTAGCTTCAATTTACTGATGTTTTCATTTAAGAGACAATGTCCTGTTAAAAACCCCGTGACAATCCGAAGATTGTTCTTATTTAAACCAAGGAAAATCTTTAATTTTTTTGATCGTAAGTCTTGAGAAATTTTCCCGAGTGCCTTAGACCGTTGGAAGATTCTCATCCCAGGTTACTAGGTTCTTGAATTCTGCTTTAATTTGGTTTCCTCTTCGGAAGCAGAACGTTTCTTGTCGACTTAGTGGAGTGTTCGCTCATTTTTTGTAACTAGATCGTTCTTCTATCTCTTGGTGAGGTGGAACCCAGAGTAGGAGGACTTTACTTTCTTTGCCTAATTCTGCAAAAAAGTCTAAAAAAAATAAAGTTCTTAAAGTATTAAATATAGGCCAACGATTTTTTATTTTTAGATATTTACAGAACAAATTAAAAAAAAATAGAAATGCTACTCTTATTAAAGCATTAAAAATAAGCAAATACACTAGTATATACACTAGCTCACCACTATACACTAAAACACTACATTTTTACACTGGACGTACGTTTGGCTAATCATGTTAGCATCATCAACAGATGATTAAAAGTAAACTATTGTTATATTCACAAATTGAGCTTTTCTGTAGACACTCGATTGGTAGTGTTCACAACTAACCAAACCAAACCAATCGAACGTAACAATAAATTACTGAAACTAGAAAATTAAGCAACAGAGAATTAGAAGAAATGAGACTCTCATCCTTGTTCATATTTTCTTTACATTTATTTATTTGTTTTGATACTTTAATTTGTAACGGATAATTTGCGACATGTTTGGAAAATTCATCCTTATCAAAACAAGATTTATCCGCTGTAGCATATTTTAATTCGTCAAATGCTGTTTGAATCTAGTTATTTTTGGTCTTCTAGTCTGCCCAACATATTTCTGATTGCCGTCTTTACAGTTGATGTGTTTTATCTTTTAGCATTATCTAATAGTTGCTATAATTTATTACTAACTCTATAGACAAGTTTATGATTGAAATTCTTTAAAAATCTTTCTAGACCACGGGTTCTCTATCAAATGGTATTGAAACATAATGTAACTTATCATTATCTAGTTGAAAAGTAGAGTTTGCAGAAATTCTTAACTTATACTTCTGTTTTCTAATTATTTTTCTGACCAATGAAGGAGCATAGTCATTACACTCATCTACATTCTTAGTATAATTTCTCTCTTTTTCATATCTTTCGCTGTTAAGTAGAAACCTATTAATCTATGAACTAAGAAAATTAAACTAGTCATCATAATGTTTAACACAATGATAAGTCATTAAGAATTTATCTGTGTCTAGTAGTATTATTTCTATAGACATCAAATTCCAGGCAATTATTAGTATTTCTAATAAATAATATATCTAGAAATGGTAATGACTCGTTCTTCTCAATGTCATAGGTGAAGATATTTATTCTATAGAAAATGACTTATTCATTTTTTAATATCAATCAAGTGAGAAAGTATACATTAACTTGTATTCGATTAAAT